TGCCTCTGCGGCCTCCTCGGGATGGAAGCTCTCCTGAAGCCCCTTGATTGACCCCCCCTTCGGATGGCAGCTTGCGGCAAGTGCAGCCGGGCTGATGACCGAATGCTGTGATGTGCCCAGTGTGGGTACTCCGGGCAATCCAAGCCAGGACTGCTTTGCAAGCGGGGCACCCCTGAGAACTGTCTGTCCGGGGTGGGGGTCGGGTCCCTTTAAGCACAGCCCTCGGCTAGCCTGAGACAGCAGCTCCATGCTCTAAGTCCTCATCTGATGCCCTGCCGGCACTGCTTCTGGCCATCCTTAACCCCGGTTCAGGGTCCACTCTGTGTGGACTTGCTAGTTCAAATTAGCAAAACGCTAATTCGAACTAGTTTTTTAGTCTGGATGTGTTAGTTCGAATTAGCTTAGTTCGAATTAACTAATTTGAACTAAGTTAGTTCGAATTAGCACTATAGTGTAGACGTACCCTAAGGTGCCACAGGTCTCCTCGTCACAATTTCATATTTGAATTCTTTCAGAACTCTTGGGTGAATGCCATCTGGACTTGACATCGTTAACTTTATCAATTTGTTCCAAAACCTCCACTATTGACACCTCAATCTGAGACAATTTCTCACATTTGTAACTGAAAAAGAATGGCTCACATTTGGGAATCTTCCTAACATCCTCTGTCGTGGAGGCCGGAGAAAGTCTAGTAAGTGAAATAAACATTTTAAAATTAACACGTTGGTCTATACATCAAGTATACAATAAAAGCTTTATTTACACACATAGTGCAGATTTTTTAGCCCAATATATAAGTAACAGGAAGAGCTCATCCACATTAGCTGAAGAAGTCCTAATAGAGAAAGAATTTGTTTTTATTTTTGCTTTATTGCTGCTGTCTGAAAATATTTGCTAAATCAGTGCAAACCTTTCTATTCTTACTGTAAAAAGTTCAGAAGAGAATTTGTGTTCTCTCCTATCTGGCCTGGGAGAAAAAAGGTTTTTCCAAAGTTCCTCTTGTACCTTCCTCTATAATATTTTTGATTCATCTGGGAAAATAATCTTTCTTCTTCAGCGCTGTTTAAAAGTAAGGGCTTGATCAGTTGCACAAGAGAGCAACTGAACAAGGTCATAAATGCCTTATTCTTCAGTGAGTTTAGAAATGTCAACCTCAAACTCCTCAAAATATATAACCTGAATCTGAGGCCAGTGAACCAAGGGAAATCTCTCTCTCCCCTGTTGCTCAAACTATCAAAGGTGTCCACAGAAAAATGGCAAAAATGAGATCTCAGCTCATTTATGTCCCACAGGGCCAACCAGAAAAGGAGGCCTTACAAGTTCCTCACCAATCACTGCAGATCTGTATTCACCTGGGGACTAATGGAAACCACCAGAAAGTTGCAGTATTTTCTAGTGGACTGGAAGACACCAAAAGGCCAAATGACAGGGTGTGTGGGACGTGTGATGACGGGTTACGCTGAAAGAGGCCAGGCATGGTCAGAGAGGGGGAATGAAGCAATGAAGAAAGCAACACTTGTGGATTTAATGGTAAGATGTTAGATGTGAGGAGCTGTTGAGATCATGAACTTCCACAATGCTGAGCTCAACCAAAGAGGGACAGAACGATCTTGGTTAATGAGCAGGTAACTTTTCCCTTCTTGGGACATGGTTTAAATTCAGAGGCCCAATGGGATCACATTCTGCAGATGTTTTTCCTCATTTTCTCACCAAGTTCTTGGGTTTTGACTCCATAAATGATTGGGTTTAGCATGGTAGGGACAAGGACATAGATGTTGGCCAAGAAGATTTGAACATGAGGAGTGATGCCCTCACCAAACCGAATTGTCATAATGGAGAAAAGGTAGGGAGTGTAAAACATCAGCATCACACCAATGTGGGCGGTGCAGGTTTTGAGGGCTTTCAGGTTGGCTTCCTGAGAGGAGATTCTAAGAACGGCCCTGATGATCAGATAGTAGGAAAGGGCAATGAGTGTCAGATCTAACCCAACAAGTGTAAGTGCCATCACCAATCCATAGAGCCTGTAGAATGTGAGGTCCCCGCATAACATCCTTGCCACAGGAATAGCCTGACAGATCGTATGAGGGATAATGCGGTTGCCACAGAACGGCAGTTGGCTCAGCATGAGGGGTATGGGAAGCACACAGAGAATCCCTCTTATTAAACTAACCAGCCCTAGCGTAGCTATCCGTGTGTGGGTGAGTATGGTGGCGTATCTCAGAGGGTTACATATGGCAACATAGCGATCGAAGCCCATTGTCACAAGGATGGCTGATTGCATTGAAAAAGCCGCACTAAGGAAGGTAATTTGGGTGAGGCAGCCACTCACTGTGATGACTTTCAAATTGAACCAAAAAATACTCAGGGCCTTTGGCACAACACAGGTAGAGATAGTGATGTCTGTGAGTGCCAGCATGCAGAGTAGCAGGTACATCGGTTGGTGCAGGGTCTGCTCTTTGCCAACCACAAACAGAATGGAGACATTTCCCAACAGGCAGAAAATATAGCAAGTAGCAAAAGGGATGGAAATCCAGATGTGAGCATGTTCCAGGCCAGGGATGCCTGTTAGGATGAATGTTGACATGTCAGAGGAGCTGAGGTTGAAAACTGCCATGAGTTGGTGGATGAGACAACTGGGTTGAGGAATGAACAGGGTGCCTGTGAAAACACAAAAGCACAGTGAACCATGTTTAAAGATAATAACCAATATCACAGGAAACACGATATTTAATATCAGTTTAGAAACCTGAGTAGTAATGTGGCCACTTTTACAGAAGGCAACAGATTATTTAGAGTAGACCAAAGTTAAAGCTAGAGAAGCTCCCAGAAGGCGCTAACTGTGCGAGGGTAATTTGCAGCCAGATGGGAGATGAACTTTGATGTCAAGAGGTGCAGCATGTCTGCCCATTAGAGGGAAAAGCTTGTACTCCTGATACATCAAACAAGGTTCTAGTCATAGAATTATAGAATGACTGGAAGGTCATCAAGTCCTGTCCCCTACCCTCATATCAGGACCCAGCACTGTCTAGACCATCCCCGATAGACATTTATCTAACCTACTCTTAAATATCTCCACAGATGGAGATTCCACAGCCACCCTAGGCAATTTATTCCAGTGTTTAACTACCCTGACAGTAAGGAACATTTTCCTAATGTCCAATCTAAACCTCCCTTGCTGCAGTTTAACCCCATTCCTTCTTCTTCTATCCTCAGAGGCCAGGAAGAAAAAGTTTTCTCCCTCCTCCTTGTGTCACCATTTTAGATACCTGAAAACAGCTATCATGTTCCCTCTCAATCTTCTCTTTTCCGAGCTAAACAAGCTCATTTCTTTAAGCCTTCCTTCATAGGTCATGTTCTCTAGACCTTTAATCATTGTAGTCACTCTTCTCTGGACCCTCTCCAATTTCTCTACTTCTTTCTTGAAATTTGGCCCCCAGAACTGGACACAATACTCCAACTGAGGCCTAATCAGTGCAGAGTAGAGTGGAAGAATGACTTCTCACGTCTGGCTCACAACACTCCTGTTAATACATCCTAGAATGATGTTTGCTTTTTTTGCAATAGCATCACACTGTTGACTCATATTTATCTTGTGGTCCACTATAACCCCTAGATTCCTTTCTGACATACTCCTTCATAGACAGTCGTTTCCCATTCTGTATGTATGAAACTAATTGTTACTTCCTAAGTGGAGCACTTTGCATTTGTCCTTATTAAACTTCATCCTGTTTACCTCAGGCCATTTCTCCAATTTGTCAGGATCATTTTGAATTTTGACCCTATCCTCCAAAGTAGTTGCAACCCATCCAAGCTTGGTATCATCTGCAAACTCAATAGTACTCTGTATGCCGATATCTAAATCATAGATGAAGATATTGAACAGAGCCGGTCCCAAAACAGACCCCTGAGGAACCCCACTTGTTATACCTTTCCAGCAGGATTGTAAACTCTTAATAACTACTCTCTGGGAATGGTTATCCAGCCAGTTATGCACCCACCTTATAGTAGCCCCATCTAAGTTGTATTTACCTAGTTTATTGATAAGAATGTCATGCGAAACCATATCAAATGCCTTACTAAAGTCTAGGTATACCACATTCACCACTTCTCGCTTATCCACAAGACACGTTATCCTATTAAAGAAAGCTATCCGATTGGTTTGTCATGATTTGTTCTTTACAAATCCATGCTGGCTGTTCCCTATCACCTTGCCACTTTGCAAGTGTTTACAGATGATTTCCTTAATTACTTGCTCCATTATCTTCCCTGGCACAGAAATTAAACTAACTGATCTGTAGTTTCCTGGGTTGTTCTTATTTCCATTTTTATAAATGGGCACTATATTTGCCCTTTTCCAGTCTTCTGGAATCTCTCCTGTCATCCATGATTTTTCAAAGATGATAGTTATATGCTCAGATACCTCCTCTATCAGCTCCTCAAGTATTCTAGGATGCATTTCATGAGGCCCTGTTGACTTGCAGACATCTAACTTTTCTAGGTGATTTTTAACTTGTTCTTTTTTTATTTTATCTTCAAAACCTACCTTCTTCCCACTAGCATTCACTATATTAGGCATTCCTTCATCAGACGTCTTGGTGAAGACCGAAAAAAGAAGTCATTAAACATTAAGTCATCTGCCATTTCTAAGTTTCCTGTTACTGTTTCCCCCTCCTCACTGACCAATGGGCCTACCCTGACCTCGGTCTTCCTCTTGCTTCTAATATATTTATAGAATGTCTTCTTGTTTCCCTTTATGCCTGTAGCTAGTTTGAGCTCATTTTGTGCCTTTGCCTTTCTAATCTTGCCCCTGCATTCCTGTATTGTTTGCCTATATTTATTCTTTGTAATTTGTTCTAATTTCCATTTTTTATATGAGTGGTTAAGCCAAGGTGGTCTTTTGCCATATTTTCTATCTTTCCGACATATCGGAATAGCTTGCTTTTGGGCCCTTAACAATGTCCCTTTGAAAAACTGCCAACTCTCCTCAGTTGTTTTTCCTCTCAGTCTCGATTCCCATGGGACCTTACCTATCAGTTCTCTGAGCTTACCAAAATCCATTGTCTCTATTTTGCTGTTCTCCCTTCTACCCTTCCTTAGAATTGTGAACTCTATGATTTCATGATTACTTTTATCCAATCTGCCTTCCACTTTCAAATTCTCAACCAGTTCCTCCCTATTTGTTA